TCTCTCTCTCTCTCTCTCTCTCTCTCTCTCTCTCTGTGTGTGTGTGTGTGTGTGTGTGTGTGTGTGTGTGTGTGTGTGCCTGCGAGCTGAAGGGTTGCTCAACTCCATTCGCTCAGGAAAAATCCGGGACACCATTGGTCATCGACTGATAGCCAAAGCGAGAAGACGAGGGTCACCCGTTCGTTCCGTTCGGGTTGGACCTGGCTGGGTTGTTCTCATTGAACTTCCTTCCCCTTGTCGTCATCCTTCCAAGCTCATCCAGGCCAAGAGGGGGAGACACGCTCAGCGTTCTTCTTGTTTGGCCCCCATCTCCGCAGCTTCGCGGCCTCCCGGTCTCGCTGTGTTTGTGTTTGGCTTCTTTCGGAGATTCGATTCACTCCTGTTCTTTTTTTTTTTTTTTTTTTTTTGGGATCCCTCAGCGGAGTCTCGGGTTTCGTTTTCACTGCAGCTGAACCCGGTTTTCCGCAATATCGCTCTTCTGTCGCCCGACGCCCGTTATCCCTTCCCTTCCCCAGTGGCGTATCTGGTCTGGCTATGGGTGCCAAGGGGAGAATAAGAGGCAAGGATGGGGGTGGGGGTGGGGGTGGGGGTGGGGGTGAGGGTAGGGGTGGGGGTGGGAAGAGCCCAGTTCTACAGGCAGGTAGCACCGCTAATCATCACCATGACGGGGATCTTGATCTCCTCCTCCTCCTCCTCCGCAGTTCAGCCCGCGCCAAGGTGCAGCTGCTGGCTATGGTGGTCGTCATCTTCATCTTCTCAGGCGTTGGATATGGCGGCCCGGTCGCTGCTCGGGCTCAGCCAGTAGGCCCACCTGATCTGAACGCTTGCGTGCCCAATGCAGTTTGCTGTCTTCCCAGACCGCTCTCTCCCCCGACTCCCTTCTCTCCCAACGAGTCCATCCCCTTCCACACTCGTCTCTCTCTCCAGTCTGCCCTCCAAAGCCGCACCTTCATTACCAAACTCATCACTGCTTATCGAACCATCAGACTTCTCGACATTTCCGACCCGCGCAACCTGGAGCAGCAGATGCGAGTCCACTGCGCTTTCTGTACTGTCCCGGAAGCCTATGGTCCCCAGCTGCAGGTGCACACCAACTGGCACTTCTTCCCGTGGCACCGCATGTTCCTTTACTACCACGAACGCATCTTGGCCTGGGCGAGCGGCGATGACTCCTTCGCGATCCCGTTTTGGAATTGGGACAACGAGGTCGGGAGACCGTTCCCACCACTGTACATGAATCCCAAGTTGCCCCTATATGACCCACGGCGCAGGGATGAAGTAGGGCTGGCGGAAATGGTACGGCAGGCTACCACCGTACAGATACTGCGGGAAAGCATGATCGACTCAGTGACGCAAACCAGCTTCTTTGGAGGGCGCGTCGGAGAGGGACAGGTGAGTCCCATTCATTTGGGGAAAATAAAAAAAAAAGGGAAGGGGAAGGGGAAAAAAAAGGTGCGGTGGGTGTTTTTTTTTTTTTTTTGGTTTTGTTTGCTATCATGTTTTTCTGTTTTCAGAAAAAGAAAGAAGAGGTAGTACCATACGAACATGGACGGCGTAAAAAAAAAAAAAAAAGAAACAACATGGAGGGCGGTTATAGCGTCCATGTTCTGTCAGTGCAGCACAGTCTGAATCCAAATGCGGGCTGCCGCTCTTTTTCCTGATGGGGGGAATTACAGGAATACCCCTTTCTTCGACTTTTCTTCACTTCCAACTTCTGCTTTCCCCCCCTCTTTGTGACCTTTCTAACAGATTTTTTTTTTTTTTTTTTTTTTTTTGGAAAGCATGAACATATATTACCAAATATCAATGGGACGAGGCCGGGGACCTCACAGTTCTAGCTTTACGATTTCTAACAGGGGCATGGTCCCACTAGCAACCGGATAGGATAGAAAAGAGTTTGTGTGGCAGTTGAGTGACCCGAATCCTGCCGTGCAGTACTCGTGATCCCACGGTCAGTATTTTACATGTATTACCCGAAAAAGTAAGGAGATCTTGGTTCCCCTCCTCCTCTCCTTAACACTGGGCATGCGGGTGCAAAGAAAGCTTCCCGCCAGAATCTTTTCAATCCGTTGGGGCTGTGGCCAACCCCAAACGAGGTTGGGGTCGGCCTTAGCCCACTGGATAGAAGATTTTCAGCATTTTACTTGCTGTTGTGCAATTATCTCATTGGGTGGAGCCCTCCTTCAATCACGGAGTATATGGAGGGTATCAGGATCACTGCTGACAGAAGTCGATTTTATTCCAAAAAAATGTGGCGGTTACTTTGTTCACTGTTTTTGCAACCACCACCATCAGATCATTTGTGATCTGATGGCTGGGAAGCACTCTGCCGTGATTTCCGGTGGGRGGKSKYTGKTTCTTTTTTTTTTTTTGGCCTTTTTCCTGTTTTCTCAGCCCAGAAATTCGTAATGAACGTGTCTGGCCGCTGCCACTCAGTGTCACACTGGATCGGCCACACTCCTATCCGACTGCCAATGGGACCTCGCCCCAGATTTCCATGTGTCCTCAAAACTAAAGGGTTTTTGCCAAGTCGCCTGGGGCGTGGTCCCACTAGCAAAGGGGATCGGATAGAATGCCTGCATCTGGACGTGTTTGTCGAGAGGTGCAGGAAATCCAGATTGAACTGCTTTTCTGCATCTCTGCATAAAACACATCCAGGTTCATGCATTTGATCGTATCCTCTTTGCTAGTGGGACCTCGGCCCTGGGGCCTGGACCCACTAGCGAAGTATTCTACTATGTGTGAGGCAATTTTATGGTTTTTTGGAAGATACGAAGTGATTTTTTATTTGCATGAATGGATCCGATGCGTTTTTTTAATTTAAAATGAATTGAAATAGCACATAAAACTCTGAAGAACAGCTGTGCACCCGAATTCATGGGTTGGTACGATCTCCTGTCTTCATACTGATGTACCGTGGCAATAAAATGTGTCCACGAACACAGCCACGAGGATGAACAAGTAATGGCTATAGGGATACATTCATCCCCATGTATCTCATGATGCCTCTAACAGGCCATCCGACAGACGCGGAAGCGTTCCTGTCAGATCCACCACGATATCGGATTTTTTTTATTTTTATTTTTTTTTAATTTTTTTAGTGATATCGGAATTTCACATTTCAAGTTCTATTCTCAGAGCCAAAAAAAAAAAAAGAACGAAGTCTGCAAATCAACCGGCCCCCTTTAGAGCCCATAAAATCCAGACTTCCGGCCCACGCAAAGCCACGAGCTATCATGTCCAAGTTAGTCCAACTTTGTTTTGTTTTTTTTTTCCGACGCATCTCATTGGACGGAGGTGGGCATCCTTACAGTCCCCGCTCGGAAACTACCAGGCCGTCGAGATCCTATCTATTCTACGGCCGTACTGTGTCACTCCCGGCCACACGTGATCGAAATCCTGAACGAAGTGGTAGAATACTTGGCTAATGGGTCCAGGCCCCTGAGCAGATATACGGGGCAGATGGAGGTCGAAGACGACAACAAAGAAGAAAGAGGAGGAGGAGGGGGAGGAATTCGGGAAGTAGAAAGAGGAGGAGGAGGAGGAGGAGGAGGAGGAGGAAGTCGGGAAGAAGAAAGAGGAGGAGGAGGGGGAGGAAGTCGGGCAGTAGAAAGACGAGGAGGAGGAGGAGGAGGAGGAGGAGCGGATATGGATGACAAGGATTTAGGAGGAGGAGGAGGAGGAAATGGAGGAGGAGGTGGAGGAGGTGGTGAAGGAGGCGATGGCAGAGTAGGCAGAAGACGACGACGAAGACGACAAAGAAGAAGAAGAAGAAGAAGAAGAAGAAGCAGAAGAAGAAGAGGGAGAAGAAGAAGAAGAAGAAGAAGAAGAAGAAGAAGAAGAAGAAGAAGAAGGCTATGGAAGACTAAGAATTGTGGGAGGAGGAGGAGAAGTTACTGTAGGAGATGGAGGAGGAGGAGGAGGAGGAGGAAGAATGAGGAGGAGGTGGAGGAGGGGGACGAGGCGGAGGAGGAGGAGCAAGTGCCGTGTTTTATACGATAGGACTCTGCCACTGAGTGCTTGAATGGCATATTCAGGCACACGCCCAACACCGGGATAATTGGTGGAAAGCCCCCACCGCCAAAACCTTTTCGGTTTTGGGTGCCCAAAGTTCTGCCGTTTGGTACTACCAGCCCGAACTTCTTCTGCCTGGGTGCACGCCGTGGCCACACCTCCGAATCTGGCTCTGTTTTTACCGGACAATGAATCTGGCGCTGTTTTCATGAGCCTGTAAGAACAGAGCCAGATTGGGAGGTGTGGCCACCGCGCAAAAAAGACGCCTTTCACCCAGGCAGAAGAAGTTTGGGCCTGTGGTACCAAACGGCAGAACTTTGGGCGCCCAAAAGATTTTGGCGGTGGGGGCTTTCCACCAATTACCCCCCAAACACCCTTCTGCAGGCAGGCACTGGTAGTATAGTACCAGCTTGGTCCCGACCTTTTTTTTTGCATATTTTTGCGTATCCTTTTTGCATCCACCAGTACGGTAGTACCGGCATTCTCTCCCGGGGCGAGGTCCCACTAGCAAGAAGGATAGGATAGAGCTCCGGAATCTGGACGTGTTTTATGCAGAGATGCAGAAGAGCCGTTCAATCTCTATTTCCTGCACGTCTCCAGAACCTCGTCCAGATTCAGGCATTCGATAGGATCCTCTTTGCTGGTGAGAGCACGCCCCCGGCAGCGGTGGGGTAGGGACTGCAGTATAAGTGAGATACTCTGATTTATCCCATGCAAACTTTTTTTTTCCATGCACACTTTTTTTCTCCATGGAAATAAAGAACATTCTTAAAATTCCACAGTAGCACATTTAATTACCAGTCAGGTAAAAAAAAAAAAAAAAAAAAAAAAAAAACAGTGATCAGGGACCAAGTCCCACTTGCAGCGGTTTAGTACTCAGTTCGGGACCCTGTGTTTTGTGCGACACGTTTCCGACTATAACAGCCAATGGGAAACCGCTATGGCGCTGCCCTCACATTGATCGTAGGGCGCATGGTCGGTTATGTTTTTCTTCGAACGGAATGGATTGAATGTTGCTATGTAGCGGTTTCCCATTGGCTGTTATAGTCGGAATGAGCTCTTTCACTCGCAGGGAACGGTCCTCGTCCGTAGCCTGACCCCAGTCGGGCTAGACGTGGGGACCGTCCATCGTCTTGTATTTCCACAGAAACTAAAAGTTTTTCCCGACAATGCCGCTGCCATACCCTTGGTTACCAGACTGACCGGCCTTTCATCATTACTGTCATTCAGCACGTTCAAATCCTGTTATTTTTCACGATTTAACCCGTCGATTGTCAACCAGCCGCACATTGCCACACGAAGTCACACAGTGTCGTGCAGTACTGGCTACGGGAACTAAACGGCTGCAAGTGGGACTTGGTCCGAGGTCCCATAGGTGACATGATGGAACATGAGCATCAGTCTTCTTTTTTTTTTTTTTTTTAATAAGTTAAACATGGAAGGTCATAATCCATGGATATGCTATCTCCTCTCTCTTTTTTTTTTTTTTTTTTTTTTTTTATGTCCATCGGTGATTCACCAATGGCTCTGGACTTAGCATACATTATTCCTGCACATTGCCCCATGCTTTAGCTAACTACCTATATATATGGGCCTCGCTGCACCACTGTCGAAAATGCTATTTTCGACAGTTCCTCTTCGCCACACAGGCTGTCGAAGTCGGAGACTAGAAGAAAAATTGCAAGTTGTCAGAGAATGCTTCTCGACACCTCCTGTCGAAAGTCATTGATTCCCCAGCCTGCTACTCCGATGCTTTCGACACTCCTCGGCTGCGCCGTCGACTTCGCTTCGAAATTTGGTGAGTGGGGGCAAGGTCGGGATAGACTGATGCTTGTCATACCCTCAGGAGCGTTCGTCTTTTTCCATCCTTCTTTCACAAGTGCGGGCACTCTACAGTGCTGTGTGGCGAAGCGGGGGCAAACTGTCGAATGGAGGCTGTTAATTTTTTTCTGACAGCCGTCGAATTTTTGTGCCTTTCGACAGTGGGGCGGCGAGGCCCTTATAGTTTCTTCAATTGCGCGGTGGAAGAGATCCCGTACTTGTGCAATGTCAATAGCGGTGGTGACAGGTATTATCCTCGGTCTTCGAACATTAACACGAAACTTCCTGGAGGCTGCAGGGGAAAGTATCCTCTCAGCATTGCCCTGGGGTGAGGTCCCACTAGCAAAGAGGATTGGATTGAACGCCTGAATCTGGCCGAGTTTGTGGACAAGTGCAGAAAATCGAGATTGAAATCCTTTTCTGCATCTCTGCCTAAAACACGCCCAGATTCAGGATCTCAATCCAATCCCGGTTGCTAGTGGGACCATGCTCCTTCTCTTGTTTTAAGCAATCGAGTGCATGCATATATATCGTCAAATAGAGCTGCCCGGTAAACC